GTTTGCAGCAGGCTGCAGTTTTATAATCGTCCTCTGGAGGTCACTGTTTGACAGTGAGTGCGGCATCTGAATCACAGCCTGCAGAGACAGAGAGAAGATAGAATATGTCAGACATTATTTGTGACTTTTTGTCATAGCTGTATGTGTTTGTGTTTATGTGCTCAATTTTCGGTGTTTTTCGAGAGGCGCTGTTAAAGGACAAATGGACAAAGAAAAAAATAGCAAATAAATAAATGAAAAGAGTAACAACAGTAGGCAGAATAAGAGGAATCAGGGGAGAGAATAATCCTTTGTTCTCCTCTATTCACTTGAAGCGCGTGTCTGACTCCCTATAGGCGGAATTTCATTTTGCAGCATCTCACAGACACACACACTCAAACACCATGTAATTTGCCCTCCAGGGACACTATCATTTTTTGTATTTCTGCCTGTGTTTTTCAGATGAAGTGTTTGAGCGCAGACCCTCTTAAGTTTATTTTGGGGGTTTCCTTGTGATACAAGTATAATCTTTTCATTTATTTCCATCTCTTATGCCTGCAAGAACAATAATAATGTGTGACACAAATCATTCATGATTAGAAATTTTTGAGAAGGTCACAAACAAGATCAGGATTAAACATGGATTGCTGTTTCTGTATATGAAGAGTTCAGATGCAAAAGCCTCTAAGTGCCATTTGAAATTTTCTTCTAGAATGATCATTTTTATCAAGCTTGTATATTTAAGTTCAGTGATTTCACTTAAATGACAAAGATAATTACCTATTAATTGTTATTTAAGTGAAATTACTGAACTTAAATATACAAGTTTGATAAAAATCATCATTAAAGAAGAAAAATTCAAATGGCATTTAGAGGCTTTTGCATCTGAACTCTTCATGTATTGTTACTGCATTGGTCTTATAGGCTACATCTGCAGACACACCTTATACTTGCAGCTTAATGGAGGACTAAACTAAATATTAAGGAATACAGAGATTAGTGGCATGTGTTATGTGTAATATCTCTGTTTTAACATCAAATTCAAAAGAATATCATTTGGGTTCCATGTAGAAAGAAATCCAAGGTAGTGCATTTGATTCTCAGACAAAGATTGAGTACACTGCAAGTTGCATTGGATTAGTCACAAAAATGCAGAGTATGAACTATAAAAATGACATTATAAAATAAAATAGGAAAAATTGGAAATGAAATGTAATCACCATATAATATTTGTGTAAAGACAATTATTTTCTCTCCTGCTGGCTTGTACTCCAATGTAAAATGTATATGACGAATACCATTTTTAATATAAATAACATCTCTTTATATAAAGTACTTTTTGTTTAGTTCATTATTTGTTTATCTTTCCAGTTTTAAAGTTCAAATAATGTATAAGACAGCGTGTCTTTTTGGTGCTGTTCATTATTTCTTAAATTTTTTTTCCCCCTCCATTTTTTAATCGCCTCCTGCCTTCATTTAAATAATCATGCGGTGTGACAAATTAATTTTTACAAGTACAAATATTTCACGTAGGTTCTCAATTAACACAAGGACATAAACACTGCATGCATTATAATTAAAAAAGAATTTGCAAAACACTGCCTAAAACTGTTTCAAACGCATCATGTCACTCTGCAGGACGACTTTCCATTAATGTGCATTCGTTTGTTTTGTTTTATACATTTATGAATTAAACATATGAATTCTGCACTTATTAGACATTTGTATACAACTGTATTGTATTTCATCAGTTATTTTATTCTATAGAATATAATTTACATTCTATTCTAGAATTTACATTATCTTTTAATATTCCTCTTGGTTCCACCAGCAAACATAATCTTATGAGTAACACATTCTGATTTATTAGGCATTTGCGTACAGTTGCATATATTGTATTTTTGTAGTGTTTAGTGGTCTATCCTATCCTATTCCTTTAAGAGCAGGTATGATATTTTGGTTCTTTGGATCATCTGTAAATATTGCATGTTTCCTCTCGGTTCCGCCAGCAAACATCAGTAAATGATCTAGAAAATGGCAGATGAATAAGCAAAGCCATTTCATTTTTTTTTCTCTGAGAATTTTTGTGTTGTTGTTTCACAGAGCTAAGACCGATTTAATGATATTCATTTGAGTTTAGGTCGACTTCACACACACTATATAGCTCGGAGCGGAATACATTTTGAAGGAGGGAAGCTCCTAATATTCAGCCATTAGCTCCAATAAACAAAAGTGCCCTGAAGTATTCCCACTACAAATGGAAAGAGAATGAAATAAAATGCAAGACAGATCCGAAATTGTACATTTGTTCTGAAGGAATATGAAGTAATGAATAAACGCGAGAGTTTGGTGTGGAAAACAGTCAGAGCTTGTGTCTGAAAATAGAAAGCACTGCAAGCTCATATGCTTATTTGTGCATGAGTGAGTGAGCATGTCAACACAACACGCATACATGCTAGAGCCTGACAAACGTGATGATAGCACCACGTAATATAGACACCTGGTGGTGATCTCCATGGCAACGCTACCTGACAGAACCGTGACTTGCATGCTAAGTTTTATTCCATGGTGATCTTACAGCAATATCACACCTCTCTGTCTCTTGTGTGTATGTGTGTGTAGGTGAGGAGATTTACTCTCTGTGGCCCTGCTAATGGACAGATGTGAGAATAATGTAGTGTAGAAGAGCAGAGATCCTGTAGCTATCGACCAAGAGATACTCTCTCTCACATACATACACACACACACATTCTTCAACCATATCAAAGTGAAGGTCAGAGGTCAGAGCAGAGGCTGATGGGAAATGTGATTTATATTCTAAGGTGGCCAAGCAGTCTCCCATTACGGTTACTCACATAAATGTATGTGCATAGAGCGAGTGTGTGTGTGTATGATCTTTTTGTGCGATGTAATTTGCATTGGTAGCCATATTTAAAACGCTCCTCACGTATTTTTCAGAGCAACTTAGTATTTGTGTATCCACCAAGGATGATATGTGTGAGGCATTATTAATATACTTACAGAGTATGGAATTTGGATATGCTCTATTCCCCCGACAATGCCCTGCCAAAGCAAATCTCTCATATCTGGCCATCTTAAAACAGTTTTTAAAAATCGCAGGAAGTGCATCCGCTCAGTCTGAAGGGCACTGCAAATGGCATAAAGAACGGGAAGTTGCTAAAAAAAACACAAAGGATTTTTTTCACATAATGTACCAAAGCACATTTGTTTTCATATTAAATATTACAAAATACACACACATACGCACGCACATGCACACACACACGCACGCACACACACACACTCAAGTCAAAAGTTTGGAAACATAACTGTTTTTAATGTTTTTGAAAGACGTCACTTATGCTCACAAGACTGCATTTATTTGATCAAAAATAGAGAAAAAAACAGTAATATTGTGTTTATACAATTTAAAATGTTCTATTTTAAAATACTTTAAAATATTATTTATTTCTATAATGCAAAGCTGAATTTTTTGCATAATTTACTTGCATTTTAGTTTTCGGTGTCACGTGATTCTTCAGAAATTATTCTAAAATGCTGATTTGATTCTCATTTTATTTTATTTATTTATTTATTTTTTTTAGCAATATTAGAAACAGAAGTGCTGCTTTTTTTTTCGCCTTGTGATATTTTTTTTTTTTCAGGATTAATTGATAAATAAAAAGTTAAAAAGATCAGCATTATTATTTTAAATTAAAATCTTTTCTAACAATATAAATCTTAACCATCACTTTTTATCAATTTAACACATCCTTGCTGAATAAAATTAATTTGTATCGAAAAGAAAAAGAAAGAAAAAACAATTACTTACCCCAAACCTTTGAACGATATAGTGTATATTGTTAAAATTCTATTTAAAATAAATGATGTTCTAAACTTTTTATTTATCAAAGAATCCTGAAAAAAAGCATCACAGGTTATAACTAAATATTTTATAATAATATATTAACTGTTAATAACATCAACTCCAAGATTGATAATAAACCATCAGAATGATTTTGTATCATGTGACACTGAAGACTGTGTAATGGCTGATGAAATTTCAGCGAAAACCATTATTTGAAATAATATTTCACAATAGTACAGTTTTCTTTCTGAATTTTTGATCAAATAAATGCAGGCTTAATGAGAAAAGGAAACAAACAAAAAAATGTTTGCAAACTTTTGCTACTAACTGTTATTGTATATATTGTATATATTTAGCCACACACACATACACACATTTATCATGAGCTTACCTGAAAACTCCCAATCTGCACATTGCAGTGCCTTTCAATTGAATGAAGTTCGTCACACGTATTGAACAAATATCCCCGGCTGAATATGTAGGGAGCAGTAAATGCAGTAAGTTAATCTCATCACAGCTTTTGTATACCCCCCCATGATTGTGGGGGGAAATCTTATGAAATGTGTTAACCGGGACTGTGAATACGGCATGTATTATCAAATTAGCCAAAATATTTTAGAAATGAACATGCAACGTAATGACCTCATTAGCTATTTTAAAAGACATTGCGTCTTGAATCACTGGGTATAAATCATCAATTTGATGCAATTAAATTGGCATAATAAATCATGCCTGGAATTTTAAATTGTGTTTAATATTCTCATCTATTCATTCATATTCAAGATTTTGGATGATCCTCATTTTTCTGACTGTGTCAAAATATATTTTTCATTTGAGTGTCTATTATGATAGTAAAAGCAATGTTTAAGACAAACCAATTTGCATCAAAGTGATAAATAACCCAGATCTACTGCTATCTATCTTCCATTGTTCAAAAAAAACCCCACTGTATAGTACTGTAAAAAACAAAAAAATGTTAAGGACAATATTTTGTTACGGGTTAAACAACCCCAAAAATGATCAAATTGATAATTAGAATTAATATTTACAATAACGAGAAACATTAGAGAGCGCATTAGCACATCTAAGCACATATTGCATCCAAAGATTGGTTTATTGCATACAGTAATTGCTGCAACTGTCTGCAATTTGAGGCCCTTATTTAAATGTAGCCAAGAGGAAAACCAAACTATGTGGAAGTGTTTCCTCCAGCAGTGTCTGTGACATACATCCGAGAGTTCTCATCTGTGTACTGGGAGTTGATTCCCAGCTGGGCAGACATGCTCACAAAGGTTGACTATTTTACCCTGAAATACTCTTCAATATCCCTTGGTAATCTTAACAGCATGGAATTTCCCCTATACAAACCCTTTAGAGACAGAAAAAATGAAGATTAAATGAGAAAAGTGAGCGAGTGGGAATGTAAAAGAAAAGAGGTATCAGTGCACACATAAGATGCATTTGAGTTGTTGAAAGCTGAAAACTCACAAATTTCAAAGAGCATTTGCATATTCATTCCACTAAATGATATGCTAATCCACTTGATTTGCATCCCGGTGACCTCCTGTTGCGAAACGCTTCATGCTTAGATTCTCCGAATGAAAGAACAGAAAACAGAACAGAAGGGAAAACAACTTGTTGGGGCCCAGCGGACAGGCTTGCGTGTCTCTGGAAGCGGAGGATCATAAGGGACATAAAAGCGCACTTGTGATCTTTGAATGGCAAGAAATAAAAGGCACATCAGAGCTGAAGAGCAGCGACAAGAAAACGCTATAGAAAGTTACTGTGGCGCGCTGTACAGATGTGAATGCTGAAGTAAACGAAGTGCATGACACATCAGAAATCATTTCTACTTCTCAGTCATCAAAGAGAGCACATGGATCCAAAGTAGAGCGACAGAATGAGGGATGTAAAGAGAAAAAGGGTTGAAGAGTTAGAGAGGGAGGGAGGGAGGGTGTGTGGGGGGAAGAACATGACACAAAGTGGCGAATGAACACGGTGGTTTTGCGAGGTTGGCACGGTGCCATCCACTCAGCGCCGGTGCCAAAGAGGGCGTGTAGGCAGGGTGGCATTACAGAGGAGAGAGGAGGAGAGACAGATAACGAGAGAAAAGAGAGGCATCATCCAGCTGCCAATTCTCCAAACGAGATGTTGCCGAGCATTGGATTCAAAAGTTGGGGCTCTTTGAAGATCCATCCGCCAGCTCGACAGCATGGCAACTGTGTGAGTATGTTCAATACATTGCGATAAACTGACGTGGTGTCTCCTAACAAACCTTTTATCCTCTTATTGTTTCAGAAAATCGCAAAACCCTTCGCCAAAACCTCGTCATTTCGATTCCCTCAGGCTACGCCATCCTGCTGCATTTCGCCGTCTCCTTTGTGACCGTGCCAGGCTCCAAGTAGGCACATCCCCCAGAGAGCCAGCAGCACATGCCCCGGTGTCGATGCCACTCGACGCGGGTATGATGGCATCTGCCTCGTATTAATGGAGATATGCGACTTGTCTTGTTATTCTCGTTGGCACGCACAAACCTTCGGCAGCGTGCCAGGATCTCTGCGCCGCCGCGTGCCGCTGGGAAGCTGGCGGTGGCTTGGGAATGGCAGAGTGCCAGCATGTTCCTGCAGCCCCCGACGCGTGCCACTTGGCAAAGACAAAGAGCCCTAGGGACGAAACACAAAACAAGATTGAAAAACACAGTGATCCGACAGCTTAATTAACACTTGCAGAGTTTGTTGGGTTAATTAGTGTGACAGATTTGGTGAGGAGGAATGTGGCAGGAACACTTGTGTGAACAAAAGTGATGGGCAAACCAGACTGAAGGAATGTCGACGGAAGTCAGAGAGCCAGCAGTTATGCTAACATTGCTTAACATTCAAGGATAAATGAAAAGTAAAGGAAGAGTAAAGAAAGTAATGTGAAGTTGGTGGACTGGACAGAAGAAACAACTGAGGATACAAGCAAACAGGGAGGAGCTAAAGAAAACCACAGGCCTTGACTTAAACAGTGACTCATCAAATCGCAACTATTGTTGTGGTATACGACTTTTTTTTATCTACTGCAAAAACTCAGAAAGTACTCCGCAGTGGCTTACACAAATATACACTCAGCAGAAGCGAGAGTGAACGTTCATGAGTACGTCGGGAACACCAAAAGGATAAATGACGGCGGGTATTAGCATGGTGAAGTTTACCAGATGGATGCACAACTTTTGAAATCTCTCGGTGTGCAGAGCTTTCCAAGACCAGGGAGAGATTTGTGCTTGAATACCTGTTCTGAGGATCCACGAAGCTTCCTGTTGAGTCCGAGAGAAAATAATGCCACTCAGAGAGTGAGTGAGAGAATTCGGTCTCTCGAAGGATGTGTTTGACATTGTAGAGGAGTATAAATAATGCAGATTCTCTCCTCCTCTTCCTTCCCGTGCTTTCCCAAGGAACAGATTTACAGACGTTTGTGCATCGAATCTTTCATTGACACCGCTCTCGTTAACTAACGGAGGATTTGTTCCGAAACGGGCATTGTTTTCAGCGTAACCTTCTATAAACAAGTTCAAATTAGCCGTTAACAACCAAACGAAATGGGACGATTAATGTTGTTTTCTCTTGTTTTTTTTTGCATTTACATCTTTCTTTGTACCGATTGCGGACAATTATGTACGGATATGCTAATCGTGCTGTATTAATGAGGTTTGTATCGCTGGGATTCTCGTCTTTACTCCTGTGGGGATCTTAATTTTACCTCATCTTTATTATGTAAATGGATTATGCCAAAAACAACTGTGTGCGCACACACACACATACAAACACACACACAATAACACAAAAGGGGGCGAGTCAAAGGAAGAGGGAATAAGGCAACGGTGGGAGGGGGGGGATAGCGGAAAATGGAGGATATGCTTCCTTACCAGCTTCAACACCAAAACGCAAGAAACTGCCGAGAAATCTGAAAGGATCTATCAACTCAATGCGTCACATACCAAGATGCAGGACTAATGCGTTGAATTTTCAGTGCTTTTTTATTTCTTCTAGATATTTCTGCTGTAGCAGTCCTGCCATGGAGTGACAGAGCCAAGGATGGGATTTACTAGATGAAAAGAGAGAGAGCGAGAGAGAATGGTTAATATCCTGCGCCTAATCACGGCACATGAGATTGGCTGTATGCATATCTCATTTGCATCTCATTAAATTGCTTGTGCACCTGCAGAGAGAGGGGAGAGGGAAAAAAGGACAGCACAACGAGAAATGAGGGTGTTGTTTCAAAAATGCAGACCGTTTCTTAAGCTGTTATTAAATTGCAATGTTTTTTTTAAGTACACTGCACTTAAAAAAAGCTGTTTTAGGTGTTATTTTATATATGTTATATATGTTTTCTTAATAGCATGATCTACTAAGATACCACCATGCCACAACTTTGTGGCATTAAATTCTCTCTGGGAGGATAAAATTGAGATTTCAAGATATTGAGACGTAAAACAATCCATATGTTTCATAGTATGTAAAGTCCAACACTGGCCACCAGTTTAAAATATGCATGATTAGTATGCAGCTCTTTGCATTCTTTAATAGAACTCAGGGTGAAGACTATTGTCTCTGATTCCAGGATGTGCCATCTGCCTGGCTGCAGAGACTGGCCTTTCTCTTTGTGTTACGCACAATGGGCTATTCTACACTGGACATCCACACATAACTCAAATAAATCATGCCCGAGCCAACAGGCCACCAGAGGACCGCTGCAATATTTTCCATAAAAGAAAGGAGAAGACTGCATGCGGAGTAGAGGAGAGATTAGGAAAATTAGAAATGTTCCATTACAGAAATAATGACAAACAGTTAGAGGGAAGAAATTGGAAGAACAAGACAAGGAAAAGTGAAAGGAAATGAATACTAATTTAAATTGTACTTAAAATATTACTCACATTCATCTCTTATGCTCTTTTTTTTATATAAAGTGCAAAACAGCGTCCGACCTCCAGACCCAAGAATGGCCATTCTCCAATGTATGTGACTTTAATGTAATTACTTTCTGACGGATATATTTAAATCTGTATGTAAACACTGGAGCAGCAAGGTCTACGTATGATAGAAATGTCTGCATCGATTACCCGCTATGAATGTGAAATGTTTAATCTCGTTAAAAATCTCATGCCTAAATTAGACTCCCTCAGCAGCTTTTTAAATTGGGCTATCCATCATATATAATGAAGAAGTGACAGAGTGTGTATGCAGGGGGTTCTAATATAAAATTGTTTTAAAATATTCTCATATTAGCTCTGCTCGGGCAAATGGCACCGGCTAGATGTGGTAAACAATAAGACAGAAACCAGAGCCCAGAATAAGCCCTAATCCAAAGCTTTTGTATGATCCGAGTCACAAAGCATTGCTGAGGGACAAACAGTGCTTCAAGGATTTATTCTCTTTCAAGAAACGAAAAGAAAGGGGGGGAAATAGAAAGAGGGAAAGACATGTGGTGTTGGCCACCACCTGGTGAGATGTCATGTACGATTAAGTGTGTGTTTGTCTGGCACGCTTCTTGCCGTTATCAAGTGCGGGCAGCTCAGCGCAACCACTACGCTGCATACTTTTCTTATGCTAATGACTTCAAATTTGATAGACCCCTCCTCCATTGCAATTGATCTCGGTA